TTCCTATTTTATTCTGTATGTTCATCATTCTGACTCCTTAGATGCCACTTATATAGAGAGGTGTAAGCGTAGAAAACAGTCCTTTACTAAGTGAGACCATCCATCAAACTGTGATGACTTGGGTATTTCAGGGGAGGCACCTGAGTCAAGTCCTTCACCAGGTTGCTGTCACAGTCAGAAGAAATAACAGGCACCGGTCAGGGGTTTTTTTTCTTTCTCTCTGCGTGTTTTTGGCAGGGCAGCAAGTAAAAGCGCGGGCTGAATCTGCAGCCCTTACTCATGGGGATAGGCACATCCGAGCAACCGGAGTTGCCTGCGTGATTCAAACATGGAAGATCTGGGTTGCTTTTAAGGCTTGTTTTAACTTGACAGGCAGGATGTACTCAGAGCGGTGAAACACGGCCTCCCAGGTGCATTTTGACCAGCTGTGATACTTGATCCAGGGCTCAAGCTCTTGCTATGGGTTGCCCAGCTCTTCTGGAAGGCTGTGTGGGACTGGGAACATCCGTCTCACAATGATGTGCTTACTGCAAGCATCCATGCGATCCCATTCCCACATGCAGGGGAAGCTAGGAGCGGATGCCCCGGCGTGTTCCTTTCCTGCCTCTGCACTGGCTGGAAAAGCTTTCAAGACTAGAAGGAACCACATAGGCTGTTCCCTTCTGATCTCTTTGCCTCGAAGGGCATTTCCCTACGTATCTCTTCACTGCCAAAATAGCATTGAAGAACCTTGGTGTGACATCTGGTCATGTAGCTGGGAATTAAGTGAAAACTCCCTGGTTTCATTTGACTGTTTTGGTTTGCACAAACCAAGAAACCCAAACCAAACTTTAGAGGTCATGCAATGAAAGCACAAGAGCAGTTGTTTTCCTCACCTCTTCAGTGAATCGGGGACTGCGTGAGAGTAATCCTAGCCCAGATGTAATGCTGTAATCGCTGGACCCCTGGATATGGGAATTTACCCTCATAAACTAAGGAGAGGCGTCAGGCCAGAGTGTGGTATGTGACCTCTTTGGCAGGGAGCTTGTTTGGCCTTGCAGGAAATGACTTGTTCATTTATTTAGTTCTCGTTCAAGGTCCTGCACCAATGGATGACAGGAAAGGAAGGCTCCTATGCAGCCAGCTACAACTCAGGGAACAGCAGGGCTGGCACGTGGCAGTGTGTGGAAGGGAGGCATGGGGGGGCACGCTTGATGACGGGCTCGACTTCCAGTGTGTGCTTGTAGAGCAGGGCTTATGTGCCAGACTGATGTTGGGCTTGCTTCAGGGTCTTGCCAAAGCTGTGATTTATGAGGTAAATGCCACCTGAAATCACAGGGCTGTGGTTCTCAAGATGTGGACGCAGGGTGATGAGGAACAGGCGGTTTACTGCTTGGAGCAGGGTGTGAAGGCAGAAGGTGGCTGGCCTCCCAGCTGTTCCTAAACACAGTGAGTGCAAGGTTGACACCGTGAATAGCAGAAAAGCTCAACAACAGCTGAAGTTTCTTTGGTGTCTATAAAGAGAAGGTAGGCTGGGGGCTCCGTGTCTGCCTGTGCTGCTCTGACTGCAGACAGTCCTGCTCTGTGCTGCTTGCAGCTGCTCTTTCCCTTGGAGCCTCTTTTTGTGTGGGGTCACATACCAGCCCAGGGTAGTCTTCTGCAAAATCTGCTCAATAAAATGTCTTGCAGTGGGATTTAACAAGCCAGGACTCAGTGGAAGAATCCTTGGGTTGTGCTTCTGGTCTGAACGGCATGGCTTCTGGTAAGGCTGGCGTTAGGCTTTTTTTTTTCTCTAAGCCCTTCGTAGTAGATCCCTAGTTCTGTTGATCCTAAGTGGCCCTTAATGTTGAGAAGTCTGATGGACTCTGTCCATTTTTGGTCAAAGACTGACAAAGGGAAGGACTTGGTTAGACCTGTCATGCATCTATTGGAATTTGCTCTATCAAATAGTGTTATCTTGCTCTTTGTATCTGTTGTAGTTTCCACGGAAATAAATGGGAGGCATTACTTTTGGAGCAACTTACATATATGGGAGACAGTTGGTCTGTAGCTTCCTGGGGTTCAGGAGGTACATCAGTCAGAAAAGAATGGTTATGGAGAGCGTGCCCCACCTGATAAATGAGAAGTGCTCCCCCACCGTATTCTTACCTCTAAATCGGAGAGAGACGGTTTGAAGGCTGGACTGTTTCACAGATAAAGAGGGTTGTGGTCAA